CGCGCGCCCGCCCGCGCGCGCCCCCTGCCTGCCTCCGCGCCCGCCTCCTTGCGGGGGCCCTAGCTGGTGGAGAAGGAATCACCACCTTCCCCGGGCTTTGGGTCGGGGGGAGTTCTACGCCATCTCAGATCTTTGCTCCTTGGTCCAGAACAGTCTCACGGGGGGAAGGGGCTCCTGGACCAAAGCTAGCGGGCAGAGGAGGGCCCGAGTCCGTGCAGCCACAGCTCTGGGAGAGCCGGGGCTGTGGGGGAGGACGTGCGGGGGCCTCCTGAGCCACCCCCAGGGAACCAGGCTCGGGTTCCTGACTGCCTTGTGGGGCGTGGGAGACCCGGATCGAGACCTGGAGACCGGGAACGTCTGCGGTCTAGAACAGTCTCCAGTGGGTCAGGGACATGGAGGTCCTTGTCTCCTTCACACGAAGGGAGAACAGTCTCTCCCGCGTGGTCGACGTGGACAGGGTCAGTCCGTGCACAGTGGGGTGGGAGGCGGGCAGGGACCTGGTTTCTGGATCCTCTTTGGTGGAAGGAAACAGGTGGTGGGTCATCACGAGTGCAGAAGACCCTGGGTCACACAAATGGAGGCGCTGGGGGCCAGGCCTCTCTTTGGAGGTTAGGAAGGTGTTTACTGGGTCATCACTAATGCTGTTGGAGTCCAGAACAGCTTCAGAACAGCTTTGGAACGCCGGGGAGGGGCGGGAGGCAAGAGTCTCCTGGATGTCCAATAAGAAAGGAGCCTGAGCCATCTCTGCTTTGGAACGGTCCCTGCGTGCTGTATAGACCAGCCCTAAGAAGGGGCTTTATTCCCGGACACCTTTAAAGGGGCAAAGGGTCTGTTCAGGACTGTCTGTGACCGGAGGAGTGCCCTGGATGCTGGCCTACCCTAAACCTCTCGCCTCACCCCAACTCTTCTTGAGCAGAGCGCGTTTCACAGATCTCTAGAGAGAAAGGTGAGATCAGCGCTCGTCCCCGCGGGACCCGTAGACGAGGGCGCGCGCCGTTGCCAGGGGCACCCGGAGCCCCGCCCTCCTTCCCCAGAGCCACCGTGGGCGACAGGGACTTGGAGAGCATGCGCACTGAGAACTGGCTCTGCGCCGCCTGGCGGTGCAGAGTGAGCATTGCTTAGCGACCCACTTAGACGGGGCGTCCCTGCCCCCATCTCTAGTGGGGAGCCCTTCCCTCTCCAACAAAGAGTACGTCCCTGCCCCCCTCCCCAGCTGGGGTTCCTACCTCGTGGCAGTCTCGGAGAAAGTGCTGCAGTCCAAGCTGGTCGTGTAGTTTCTGCATCCACTGGTGGGCCCGAAGCTGGTTTTCCTGGCTCCTGGGGACGGGGAGAGAAGGGCTGGGGAGAGGCCCAGGAGTGGGGAGGCCCTGGCAGCAGGGCTGTGAGGGCAATCGGGTTGGTGGGGGCAGGGAAGGGAGGAGGAGAGAGCAAGGTGGGAATGTGGGGAGAGGCGAAGAGACATTAGTGGGACAGAATCAGGGACGGGGCTTGAGAGAGGCAGCGGAAAAGAGAAAGAGACCTGGAGAGGAGACCGGGAGGAGAGTAACGGGAGAGACAAGGAAATACACGGAGCAGGGTGACAGAGGCAGAAAGAGGAACCGAGAGCTTCACACAGGGAAAGCACGCAGGCAGGAGGCGGGAACTGGACAGAGGGAGCCCAAGCTGGGACAACCTGAGGGGGACAGACAAGCAAAGGGACGGCCGGATGCCTCCAGTAGAAGACAAAGACGCAGGCTGATAGACAGGGAGGAGGCCTTGTTGGAGGGCGGGAAGAGAGCCCGGGAAAAAGAGGGAAGCTGGGTGGTGCTCAGACAGGCAGGCCCTGGCCTCAGTGACCTGGGGGCTGTCCCAGGCCCCATCTCCCCAGCCCCAGGCAGCCTAGCCGCCCGCTGCAGTGCTGGGCCCAGTGCCCCAGAGGCCCAGGGTGGGGGCATCCCACGTCAGCTCGGGTGCGCGCTTGTCTCCCCGAGGGAGAGGAGAGATGGAGGCAGCAACAATCAGGAAGGAGACTGTTCCCCCAGGGTTTCTCTTAGAGTCCGTCCTGATTTTCCAGGCCCCACACACTCACATACACACGTACCTGCTCATGTGCGCGCGCGCGCGCACACACACACACACACACACACACACACACACACACACCAGCCCAGCCTTTTCCGGCCACTTCTTCACCTGCCACTGTCCCCCTCACTCTGCCACAACCCTATGGCTTCCTTGCTGTACCTTGCAATCCACGCCCACCTTGGGGCCTTGGCATTGGCTGGGATGGTCTTTACTCAACATCTAGTTAAACGTCACCTTCTGTGCAAGCCTCCCCTCCAACACCTGCTGACTTTCCTTCCTTCCTCAGTTTTCTCCTTGGCCCTTTACAGTATCCAACGCGCTGTGCACGTTCTTATCTTGTCCATCTCCCACACTGGATGTCACTTTCCTGAGGGCGGGGACTTGTGCTTGTTTTGGTCACAGTTGTATCTATCTCTCAGCCCTAGAAAAGGGCCCGGAACATAGTAGGTGCTCGGTGTTTTTGATGAGTGAATGAATGAATGAGTGAAAGCACGTGAGACCCAGAGACAGAGAAAGAGATGAGAGAGAAAGTGTCTGCGAAAGACCAAGAGGCAGAAGACAAAACAGCCATGCAGATGGAGGGAGAGGGAAACAGAGAGAGGGAGGAGAGCAGACGCACACGGGGGCCAAGAGACAGTGTGGGAGACACTTCCAGAGGGACCCAGAGGCAGAGGGAAGGGCCTAGAGCAGTAAATGGAGGCCGTGCGCAGGAAGTGGGAAATGCCTCTGAACTTGAGCTGCCTTCAGAGCCCCAGGCCTTCGCCTCACAGCAAGGCGGAGAGAGAAGAGGGTCCACACCCCTGGTGTGCCATGTCCTGACCGGAACCTTGATCCAGTCGGTTCCCCTCTCTGAGGCTCATGGGCCAAGCGCAGGTGCAAGCCCCTTGCACACTGGGCCAGGCCACATTCGGGACAAGCTGAGACGCAGAGACTGCAGCTCACGCTGAATCTCAGAGGCTGGGGTGGAAGCTGGGAGCACCTGGCCCTGTCTGACTCCAGGGTCCCAGCCCCCAGCTCTGTGCGGTTCTGTCCCCCCTTCCTACCCCTCACACAGGGAAGGAAATGTGTCCCCAAACAAGGAAGTGGCGCCCAGCCCAAAACTGGGGAAGACGCCCACTGTGAATTCCCATAGCCCCCTGCTCTTATTCTGTCTCAGCCAGAGGCCTCTGCCTGTACCCCTCTCCCCCACGCCAACCCCGCTGGGTCATCCTCGTCCGGTAACACGAGGCCTCTGTGAGGCAAGGTTCGTGCTCTGTCCGGGTCACTGCTATGCGTCGAGCACTGCCCCACATGGGACCTGAGACGGAGCTCTGCTCAGTGTCTCTGCAACTGACTGGAGACCAAGCGGATAAGGAGTGAGATGAAAGCAGCGCTTAATGAATGACCGCGGAAGAATGAGCGAGTCAGGACATGACAGTCCCTTGGGCCCCTCTGCGGAGCCTGGCGGATGCAGGTGCTGGGGAAACGTGGGCCAGAGGAAGGAAGGGTCCAGGCCTGGAGAGGGCAGGACCAGACCATGCTTGTGCATGCTCAGGGCTGCGATCCCAGCCCGGTTTCCTTTAGATGCCTCCAGCTCCTGCTCAGAGGAATCTGGTGCCAAGAATCCCGGACGGAAGTACGGGGTGGAGGTCTTGAGGGTGTGGGCAGTGAAGTGACAGATGTGCTCGCTACAGGGAGGCAGGAAGACAGGAGGGAGGCTGGGCCTCTTTCAGCCTGAATCATCCCACAGACAGGCAGAGGGCCACCGAGGAGAAAGCTGGGGTCCCCAAGCAGCAGTACACAGTGATAGTGAGAGAATGAACTGGACCTGAAGGAAGCTAGAGAAAGGTCCCTCCGCGAGGACAGGAATTTTAGGGGAATGAGGGAACTCTTTTTTGTTTGTTTGTTTTGTGGTCCTGGAGACTGAACCCAGGGTCTTTGCACTGAGCTACATCCCAAGTCCCGTTTTTAAGATTTTTATTTTTGGACAGGGCCCCATTAAGTTGCTAAATTGCCCAGGCTGGCCTTGATCTTGTGATCCTTCTGCCTCAGCCTCCCAGTGTGCTAGGATTACAGGTGTGAGCCACCACCCCCAGCTAGTGGCACTGTTTTGTTCAAGGCTGGGGCATAGTGGATGCTTAGTGAATGGCTTTGCCTGATTAGCACAAGGGCAGTGGAGACAGACGGTGACTGATGCGGAGAACAAGGTGCAAGAAAACCCTGAAAGACAGACACACAGACACCCTTCCTACAGAGCTGGGTGAGGTCAGATAGGGGCTTGGTTAAAATATCTGACAACCACCATGGCAGGGGCCATCCCACCCCATCTGCAAAGCCGGGACTCGCCCTGTGCCCGGCCGCTAATTGTGAGATCTGGAGAGGTCTCGGGGTTCCTGAGAGGGCCCGGCACAGCTGGGCAGATGCGGGGGCACCTAGGACAACACCATCACTTGGAACCACAGGTCCAGCTCTCCCCTGCCCAGGGCAGGCTTGCGGGAGAAACGCGTCACCTCCTTTCCCGTGTACCGCTTGAGTTTACAATCTCCTGATATCTTGTCACAAAATAGCCATTTAAGTCAAATCAAAAACAATATGGAATTAAATAAAAATCAGAGAGGAGCAGAGAAACAGCGAAGTGTGATGCAAGGAGGGGGTTCCCGGCCACCCACGCCGTCCCGTATACTGAGATCCCCCTTCCTGTGCCCCGAGCCCTGGGGGACCTACTTCTCCAGCAGCCGGGCCACGGCCTCCTGGGCCTGCTCCCCGTAGGCGTTGCCCTGCCTGAGCAGGGCCTCCGCAGCCTGCACGGCCACCTGCATCTTTTGCTGGTTCAGCTCCATCGTGGTGAGAAAATCCCGGTGCCGTTTTATTGCCTCTTCCACCGATTCCACGGTGCCTGGGAGCTCCGCGCCTGACAGCGCCACCTCCTGGGAAAGGGAAGGACGCGCAGGTCAGGGCCACTGTACGTCCTGACCTGGGAGGGGCTGCTAGCTGGCTCCCCAGGCTACGACTGAACACGCCAGGCACGGTCCTGACTCAGGGCCTTTGCTCATACTGGTACCTCTGCACGGCTGTCTGACCTTCCAGGAGGCCCCCTGGCCGGTTCCTGCCCCTTCTCCAGGTTTCTCACCGCCCCCATTATGTCCCTTTACTCTGCTTTGCTAGTTCTCGCAGCACACACCTGACATTATATATATACCTTTGTTTACCGTCACACACACACACACACACACACACACACACACGCGCGCGCGCGCGCGCACGCATGCGCTCAAATGGAAGCCAGCTGAAGGTAAGATTTTGTGACTTCTTTTCTAAGATATATGCCCAACACCAAGATGGTGCTTGGCATAGAAAAGACACTCAGAAAAATCTGGTTAATTGATGAAGGCTGAATTGAGTGCTGTGACCTCAAGGAATTTCTTTCTCTCTCTGGGGTTAGTTTTCTTTTTTTGGGAGGGGGAGTTAGTTTTCTAACTGGTAAAACGTGTGAATGAGAGAGGGTTTCTCTCTCTCTTTCTCTCTCTTTTTAGATACGGTTTTGCCATGTAGCGCAGGCTGTCCTTGAACTCACTTAGGTAGCCCAAGCTGGCCTCGAACTCACAGCGATCCTCCTGCCTCAGCCTCCCAAGGGGTGGGATTACAGGTTTAGAAAGGGTCTCTTAAGGCCACATCAGCTTCGTATTTAGTAACCTCATGATTGGAGATCTTGACTATCCCCTCCCCAGGACCCCCAAGCAAGGTCAGTGCTCCCCTAGATGACCAGCACTGGTGATCACCTCTCGATGATAACCCCCAAACTTTGTCGCCTTCTCTTGGACACTCTGGAAACTGGGAATTCTATCATCTAAATCCTCAAACGTGGCTCCCTTCCCAGAGTCATCCCCAAACTGGACCAGCTGTCCCCAGATGACCCCTGCACTTGGTTCCTCAAACTCCAACGCAATCGCCCTCTCCAGGGAATCCACAGGTGTCTTCTCCAATAACAAAAGTAACTCGTTCACTTAGACACGCCCAGCATACAACCTTCAATCGGTAACTGACCCCTACAGCCGCTCAGCCTGTTATCTACCTCCCTAATCTTAATGCTTTACTGTCTACCTGAGGTTTGTTTTGACCCCCACTTAACCCTCACCGATCAACCTCGCACTCTTATTTCCTTCCAGCTAATCCACAAACCGAGAGAGCCACCCCAGTAAATATCCAAGAGCACTACTCATGGGGGATTGTCCACAATTGTCACCTCTGATCAGACCCTACCCAACCCAATATAATCTTCAAATTCTGTTGCAAGTCCCACATACACTACATGAGCCCAAGACCCACTTGTCCGGACAAATGCGTCGCCCCCAGCCCCCTCCACCTTAGATAATCTACAACCTCGTGGTCACGAGTGTGTCCCTGCTCCCTCCTATGCCCCCAGGCCTTGGACCGCCACCCCCACCCCCCCCGCACGCACCTGGTTGCGCAACACGGCCAGCGCCTGGCGTAGATCGCGCAAGAAGAGCTGGTAGATGTGCGCCTGGACCAGCGCCTCCCTACGCGCCTCCCACAGGCCGAGCAGTTTGTGCCAGCCGAGTTCAAGATGTGGCAGCCATTCGTCCAGTGCCAGGCCTGGGCCCAGCTCGGCGCCGTCGGCTGCCAGGAGCGCCTCGCTGGCTGCCACGATGCGCGCATAGTCCTCCTCGCGCTGGTCCACCTCCTCCTTGAGCGCAGCGTGGCGTGCCAGCAGTGCGTCCGCCTCTTCCAGGCTGCTGGGCAGGGGCCCCTCGCTGCCACCCGCTGTCTCCTGGGCACGCACGAGCCAGTCCAGGAAAGCGTCCAAATCGTGCAGGAAACGCTGGAGGCGCCCAGCCGCCGCCAGTGCCTCGCCGCAGGCCTGAGCCGCGCCGGCCAGCGCGCCCCACTCAGCACCCAGCTCCTGCGCGCCCTGCTGCAGCCTCGTGGCTTGGGTAGGGAAGCGCGCAGCCAGGAGCTCTGCCTCCTCCTGAAGGGCCGCCTGGCGCGGCTCGAGCGCTTGCAAAGCGGCTTCTAGACCGCTGAGGCGCCATTGCAGGGCGCCGCCGGCCCGGGGCGCGCTCTCCACCGCTCGCCGCTTCTCTCGCACCTGGGCACGCACCTCGGCCACCTCCAGCACGTGGTTCTCCACCAGCAGCACCGCGCTCATCTCCTCTTTGCGCTGTTCTACCAGCTCCACAATGCGGTTCCACCTGTCCAGGAAGAAAGAGGGCGATGTGAGGCTAGTGACTCCTCTTGGCACGGGCGACCCACCCACGCGGGGTGGAATCCAGCCCCTGGCCACCCGGGGGCTGCGAGATCTTGTAAAGTCACTTTATCTCATTGAGCCCCAGCTCCTGCCTGTGTAAAACAGAACCTCGCTGGCCCACTGGCTCAAAGCAGTGCTCTCCACACACAAGTGAGGTGGAGCTACCTGCACCATGCTCCGATGCCGTTTACCTTTTCCCTCTCTTTCTGTCCTGGTGTTCAGTGGAGTTTATCGGAGGCTGCATGCCAGAGAATGAATGCACAAATAGACTTTAGAGGGGTTTTTTTGCATTGGGAACTGAACCCAGGCAAGGGTCTTTGCACTCCTGGCACACCTTGTCTAAGCTGGAGTGAGTCTTCCATCAGTCCTTTCCTTCTTTATTTTTTATTTTGAGACAAGTTCTCCCTAAGTTGCCCAGGCTGTGCTGAAACTTGCAATCCTCCTGCTGCCGCCTCCCAGAGGGCTGGGATCACAGGCATGTGCCACCATGCCCAGCGATTAACTACTGATCTTAAAGAGCTCTACATTCTGGAAGCTTTACTACCCAAGCTGGGATACTGGGAGATAAATTAGGTATATAAAGTGCTTGGAAAAACTCCTGGCAGATGGCAGATACTCGATGAACCCTTTCTGGAAAATCAGTCAAATCAGCTCATTGCAACAGTTTTCCTGTTATCAGCACATCACCCCTGACCCTGGCTATAACCGTTTTGGCCAAGACTTTGCTGATTTCTCAAGTGGCCGTTAACATCTCAGGGACCTGAAATCACACAGCTTTGCTTTCCATAGTGGAGTGAAGGTGGGAGGGGATGATGGGAAGAACGGGTGTGCGGTGCCAGGAAGGACTCCCGGCCCCAGGCCTCACCTACCTGCTGTTCAGGTGGTCCTGGCAGGAGCGCACCTCGTCCGAGCTGGGGTGACCTCCTTCAACCAGCTCCTGCACCGTGTGGTTCACGTCCAGCACACGGCCCATCAGACTGTTCATCTCCTGGTCCAGGCTCTCGAAGCTGCAGAAGGGAGAAGGAGGTGCTCGGAGGCCTGGCCTCTGAGGACCTGGCTCTAAGCTCCAGCCTCACTTCTCAGGCTCCTTTACTGGTTCCTCCGCCGCCGCCGCCGCTGGCTGCTGAAATGTTAGATTCCTCAGCACTCTGGCCTGGGCCCTCTGGGATCTCACACCAATCCCCACAGCCTCGGCCCTCACCCCTGAACCCTGCATGGGCTCTGCATCTTCTCTCCTGCTCTTGTCTGCAGACTCCTCCTCGGGGCTGTCACCCACTGTGACTAAGCGACGGACATCTCTGCACAAGCCTGGTGTCCCTCTGGGCCCCAGGACGGGACAGCACCACCATCCTCGTCCTCCAGGCCTGACGCCTGGGCCTGCACTTGGCCAGGTTGTCCAACCCATCTGCTCCCCTGGCCTGTCCACCTGGCTCCTGCTCTGGTCCAGGTCTGCCCCTTCTGAGTCTCCCAGCCAGCAGCCTCTCTGGGTTCCCAGCCACCACCCTCAGTCCGCCAGCACCGCCACACCCCCAGGACAGCCTGGGAGGTCTTCTTTAACTGGGCATTGCCTTCCCTTGTTTAAAACAACCGGGTAACTGCGTGCAGTGAGGATGAGGAGCAGCCCGGCGTTTCCAGCTGTGCCCAGCGCAAAACCTAGAACGGAGCAGATACTCCGCAAATTCGGGGACAAATAAGATGCTCAGAGGCAGAGGTGCAGAGGGCGAGCAAGTGCCGTTCACCAACTAATGTAATATTCATGACCGAGTCAGCCAACAGACAAACCAGTGTGTGACGTGGGGTGGGATATGAAGAGCGGTCAAGCAGGTGAGGCGTGCAAAACGACAAGGGTCAGAACTGCCATCTGTGCAGGGGCCGGACTAGGTTGGGGTGTCTGTGGTGGAACTTAGCTGAGTACCCTCCTGCCAGATGAATATAAATCTCATAATAGCAAATGGGTTTGGAATGCTTCCTGTGCTCCCAGAAATTTGTCAAGAGTATATATTAACTCACTTTCTGTTCGCCCTAAGCCCGTGGCGACTATTATCAACCCCATTTTATAGATGGGCAAGCTGAGGTTCCGAGAGGCTGGTCAAGTTGCAGAACTAACACAAAGCTGGCTAAAGATCAAACCGAGATGGGAACTCCCGGTCCCAGCTGAGCCAACACGGGAACTGCTGAGCCACCAAGCGCGAGGCTGAGTGTGTGAGGAAGGGGACCCGCGGCGCCCCAAGCCCATGCTCACCGGTGCTGTACCACCTCGACGTCGTCGAGCGAATCAGGCACCCGCATGGCGAGCAGCCATTGCTCCTTCTCGCCGATCCACAGCTCGCACGCGTGGACCTCGCCAAACATGCGGTACACAGCGAGCGCGTCCCGCAGCCACTGACGCCTCAGCGCGGCCACCTCGGTCACCTCGGCGAACAACTGTTCGGCCTCCACCACGCGCACCTGCAGCGCCACCACCAGCGGCCCGGCCCCACTGGCGCCCCCCAGCGCCGCTAGCTGGCGCCGCAGGCCGCCC